CCGTTTTTGCAGCCTTGTTCCTGCAGTTTGACTGTCCTGTAACAAAAAAAAAAGTGTTTTAGCGTATTTTAAAACAGGAAATGATTTGTCAGCGTTACTGGCAGATCAAACCGCACAAAGGCTCTTCCTGCTTCATCAGGAAACAATAGTAGCAAGAATTATCAGATGAGAGAGGGACATTAAGAATAACACTCTGAACAGATTCCACAAGTGTTATCCTTCAGTTTGACACAGGATGTAGGAAGAGGTACAACACTTCCTACTTCCTGTTTCTGTGAGCGAAGACTTAAGGAGTGATAACCTATTCTGAACTTGCATTTCTGTCTTCATGTCGGAGAGGAAAGGAAAGGAAAAAGGGGAAAGTTGTCCTTTTAGTACAGTGAATAAATGGGATGAATACAGAAAAGGAGAAACATGTGTCCGTACTTCAGAGTCAATGCAATTATACCTGCGCATGTTTTCAGAACACTTGTTGGCTAATATATTTTATGGGTTGTGTTTTTCCTTACCGAATGTTTTTAAATGCAAATTGTTTCTATATATCATATTCATTTAAAGATGTGTTGTTGATTTGTAGAATAGCTAAATGTTGGACTTGGTTTTAAGCCCTAACGTTGATTATTAGCTTGCTGATCAAAGTACCTACTCGCTGCCTGTTTCACTTTGAGTAACACTACAAATATATTATAGATATTCAAGCTTTTCAAAACTCTTGATGCTGCGTTATTAGAAGTGGATTCATGATATAGATCCATATTTGTGTCTGACCTCTGTGTCGGTTTCTGTTTATCAGCACACTCAGTTTGTCCTCAACTCAGCCCGGGAGAAGAGGGACATGGAGCAAAGACACGCAGCAATCAAGAAGAAGGTAACAAACCACTTTCACAGGTATAAACGTCTTTGTAATCCTAATGTTTAAACCACTAAGAATGTATTGACTTGCTTTGTTTGAATACTTCCAGGATGTGTCCTATGATGACTCCATCATGGATTTTAAACCTGACGCACCAAATGGGATCGCCATGGAGGGATACCTCTATAAAAGAGCCAGCAATGCCTTCAAGACCTGGAGCAGGTACGAGTTCACCCTCCACATCTCTTTCACTGAACATCTGCTTTGTGTTTTTCTCCTTCCTGGAGTCTCACAAATAGTACTCAACTGTGTTTCTTAAGTGTTCTTTCTGAAGGCTTAATCCTTGACCTTTTTGTTTTCTCTCTCCACGCCAGGCGTTGGTTTTCTATTCAGAAAAATCAGCTGGTGTATCAGAAGAAATTCAAGGTATATCTCAGCGTCTCTATTCTTAAAGTTGCCAAACATAGAACAACATGTGCGTAATAACATGCTCGTAATAACATGCTCGTTCTGACTGCGTATTATTACCCGCTCTCTCTCAGGAACAACCTACAGTTGTGGTGGAGGACTTGCGTCTCTGCACGGTCAAGCCTAGTGCAGACAACGAGAGGCGGTTTCTGTTTGAAGTGGTCTCCCCGTCAAAGTGAGTGTGTGTGTGGGCGAGCGTGCTTGTGCAACCATGCACACGTGTATTTAAGGGAGGGCGATGAATGTTCATCAGTGTTAAGTGCTTGGATTACAGCGTCAAGCAGAAGAGGGAGGTAGGAGGTGTTTGTGAGAGTGTGTGTGTGTGTGTGTGTGTGTGTGTGTGTGTGTGTGTGTAGGAGTTGTATGTTGCAGGCAGACTCCGAAAGGCAGCAGCAGGCGTGGATGTGTGCCGTTCAAAACANGTAGTGTCTCTACTTTAAAGAGTCCTCTCCTGCTGATGTTCAGGTGTATATCAGTATGTAGTGTCTCTACTTTAAAGAGTCCTCTCCTGCTGATGTTCAGGTGTATATCAGTATGTAGTGTCTCTACTTTAAAGAGTCCTCTCTAATAATCTACTTATATCCTGTTTTCTCTTCCAGGACACATGGACTCAAAGAGGAAGAAACTGTGGCTAAAGGAGGCGGAGTCCAAAAAGAAAAGGGCTCCTCGACACTTCCCTCGGTTCAATGGATTCGGTACTTTCTATTAATCATAGGCTGATTTCAACGAAACGTGGCATTAGCTCACCATTGAAATGCATCATTGAACCCACTGTAACCCCTCCTGTGTGTCAGCTGCAGTGCAGAGGATCACTCGCTGCCCAAAACACTTTTTAGTAGCTAAGGCTTTGTTGCTCTGTGGATTCAGCTTTTTAATTCATCTCCTATGATCGGACGTTTCCAATTTTTTTGTAGCATAATGTCGAGTTGAAAAGAGTTCAGGTGGAGAGAGAGTTATCGGAGAGGATGAGAGCAGGTCAAGATATTTAGTGCATCCTTTTTAAACATAGTGCTGCAGATAGCTGTGGACCACAATGTCCATGTTCATCCCTCTAAAAAAAGACCTCCATTTCCCAACTTCGCCTTCATTTCCAGATCAAAGCCGTTTCATAAACAGATTTTAAACAACTGGATTAATTTAGGTGTTGAGTTATATGCTGCTGACTATTGGGAAGTCAAATGTTCTATTTAGAGACTTCTTAACAGCTTTTCTGTGTCGTTTTAAACACAAATTGTTGTTGTTGTTTGGGACACTTAAAGGTGGGGTAGGTCATTTTGGAGAAACCAGCTCGAGTGCACTAGAATTTGAAAATACACAACCGGAACAAATCTGCCACTTCCTCACAGAGCCCCTCCTCCAACACACACGAACGCGCACATGACCAATGAGGGCACGAGATGAGTTTGTGCACAGATGGAAGGCTGACAGGCAGGTAGGCCATCCAGTTACTTTAGCCGGCTCAGATGATTGGTCGTGCTTTTTACAGCGCCACGGGTTCCACAGATGAAATGTTTTTAATGTATTTGTTGTCAAAGCATTTAATATATTCATTGCTATCGGGATGTTAAGAGCATTCCATGGAATATAACAACAAGTGTTTCTCGAGCCCGTTTCTCAAACTTACCTACCCCACCTTTAATCACACTATTACTAATATATGTCTTCAATGTTAGCAGGTTTAGTTAGCCGTCAGTGTTTCTGATAATAAAAGGACACTTTTTAGTAATTCTTGTCTAAATGGTTTCTCCGTGGTCAGAAATGTATGATTTGACACCAAGAACCTTCAAATAAGGCAAACAAAGACATTTCCAAGCCATCATTGTTGGCCATCTTGGATTTCTGACGAGCTTTTTCAAAACCTCACAGGAGTCCATGTGCCAATTTCAATCCTTGTGTCCGCTTTTGAAAGACTTCCCTGTTACACTCAGTTATCTGCAGCACTAATGGAGACGAGGAGGGAGAGGGATGTGAAAGCAGAATGAAAGCCCCTTCGTCATTGCACAACAATAAAAGCTGTTCCAGTTTGTTTTTGCACATGTTCTGTTTAACAATCGACGCTCTGGCAGCAGCATTATCAACTCCAGCTTTTATACCCTCTCCAGATGTGTTATTTCCCGTCTCTGTGGGACTCTTTGTTGATTCAGACACACGTTGACCTTGTAGGTGTTTTTGTAAAAGATTTAAATTTCAGGTTATTTGTCCGTGACCGCTCGTTGTCATGAAAACTGTAAGTGGAAATGTCCGAGAAATGTTTCTATGGACTCCTACCAATAAATGCTTAAAGAAAAACATGTCCATGTATGAGATCTTACTTTTTTAATCTGAAATGTTTCCAATGTTCTCTTTCATTTTAGCTCCAGTAACACCCGAGGACGTGCCGAGCTAGTTGCTAACTTTCTCAACTAAAACACCAAAGTTGCTGAACATAAAAAACGCTTAAACTAAACGAGACATTTGTGATAATTTACAATAGATCTGTACGGTGGCCGACAGGTGCACAACAACGCTCCGAGATATGTGTGTCCCCTGGTCTCCCAGCTGTGTGCGTCACTCTTTAGTGTCCCCTGGTCTCCCAGCTGTGTGCGTCACTCTTTAGTGTCCCCTGGTCTCCCAGCTGTGTGCGTCACTCTTTAGTGTCCCCTGGTCTCCAGCTGTGTGCGTCACTCTTTAGTGTCCCCTGGTCTCCCAGCTGTGTGCGTCACTCTTTAGTGTCCCCTGGTCTCTCCAGCTGTGTGCGTCACTCTTTAGTGTCCCCTGGTCTCCAGCTGGGTGCGTCTCTCTTTAGTGTCCCCTGGTCTCCCAGCTGTGTGCGTCACTCTTTAGTGTCCCCTGGTCTCCCAGCTGTGTGCGTCACTCTTTAGTGTCCCCTGGTCTCCCAGCTGTGTGCGTCACTCTTTAGTGTCCCCTGGTCTCCCAGCTGTGTGCGTCTCTCTTTAGTGTCCCCTGGTCTCCCAGCTGTGCGCGTCTCTCTTTAGTGTCCCCTGGTCTCCCAGCTGCGTGCGTCTCTCTTTAGTGTCCCCTGGTCCTCGTTGTGTTTTGAGCTTCTTGCAGCGTTTGGTTTCTGCAGCTTTTAGTAGACGCTGCGCATGTCTCTTCAAGTTGCTGAATGTTCTCTAAATGTGTTGTCCAGTTGATGAAGACGTTTCTTCATGTGGAACCTTAGTGTTTTTATATCTGCAGCCTTTCTGAAGCTGCAGCACGTTTCTCCTGATGGAAATGTTTTGGGCACCTGTCTTCCACCGTAGATTTGTCACAATCGTCATCTTTCCACACAAAGCCATTGTTAATGAACTAAAAGTATTAATTAGAGCAGGTTTAATCTAATATCTCCTTTCCTACATCCCCAACCTCTCAGTAATCCTTAAACCCCGCTAGCTCTTAATCAACTTGTATTCCTTCTTTGTTGCCGTTGCAGATTCACCTGTCCCCGCTGCTCTGTTGAACAGCAGCAGAGACAAAACACTATATGTTCCTACCTCAGTGGCTGCATAGCAGAATATTTTTGAATGAGCCCGCAGTGTTTTGTATTATTCATGCGGCAGAACGAATGCACATGACCCAGCAGCTCATTTGGTTCTTGTTCCCATGCAGAAAAGTATTCTCTAAGGGTTTAATTAAACAGTGTGGAAGAAGGCAGTGGCCCACCTTCCCTCTAATGCCTTGTTTTAACAACCCTCCTCTTCCTCCTGAAGTCCTTACGCAACTGTTTCTGAGCGAAGTGTGAAATCCTCCTATTGACTTTCAATATGAGGACATGTACCTCCTGAAGAGCGTGTGGTAGTGTCCCAAACACCACATGGAGAGAAATGAGGTTAAACACATAGACATGATAATTCAACAATTCTGAAGGATAGGATCTGTAAAAGTAGGCAACAAATACTATAAATGTCGACATAAACATTTCAAAAATCAGCAATTAACGTGTGAAATCCTCCTATTGGCTTTCAATTTGAGGACCTCCTAGAGAGCGAGGAGCATTACTTCGTTCGGGTGCAAAAGGGTCATTTTTAGGTTAAATACAAACAGATAGATAATTCAACAATTCTGAAGGGTAGGATCTGTTAAAGTGCGTATTAACCCGAAAAATACTAATTTCAATTCTACATAATGAGCAATGTGTAAAAAGCAGCAATTATCCAGTTTCCCAGAACATCAAAAATGTGTTTTGTGTACAGAAAAAAACACATACAATTCATGAAATTAACAATATATGCTGTTTTTGAGGCGGCGGTTTGACTATAGCCGCAGTTTGTCCCATTTGCATCATGCATGTTTTATTCATTGTGTTCAAAGAGCAGAGAAGTGGTTTATTGTTCAACCTTTTTATTGTTATTCTAATAAAAACAGCAGCCGTTGAAACAGGAGGTCATGACCGCAACAAATGCAAAGTGCGCTGGAAATTAATAAATGTAATTGCATTTATAGCCGCTTGTGATTGGATTAAATCAAACAAGCCCTGGAACTGGCTTTTTTCTTTCATTGGCAGCACCTAATTGGTTTGGTGCAGAAATTACCCATAAATCCCTTGTATATCAAACACTTGGCTGCGGGGAGAACTCAAAGCACTCAAAGACTTAAGATGGTCCGAGAATAAAATAAAGAAGCAGCTCGGGTCAAAGATAGGAACAAGGTTTTATTCAAACCGTTTTACAGAATGATTTGGATTGAAACGAGACGCACAAAGCGAGACAAAAAGCCACCTGGGTGTGATTCATTTCGGAACAGCTGTCAGACGGATTTAGGTGCAGCGAAATTGGACTGAGATTTGTCCAAGAGTGCACTCAGCAGATTAGGAGAGAAGCAACCTCCGAGCAATAGAGAAGCATGATTCAGTGTCTCTAGATGTAGAATGAGCTACTGCGGACATAAGGGTCGTTTTCATCCATTTGAAAAGTTCACTGTTAAAAAACATCTTGTAGCTTTTTACGACATTAGTTAATATACCAAAGATATGTTATAATATAGTGATATAAGCCTTTGATATAATACAAACAATAAAAGTATAGCATATTATATTAACATCTGTTACATATGTTTTTATAGTTATTATGCAATGAATAATAATTTAATTAATAGAAATAGCACACCTTAAAAAAGTCCCATTCATATTTCATCAAATATGTCATTGTGTGGTTTGCCTTGAAATGTAATAAGAAGCGTCCTGGTATAGAAATGCATTCCACAAAGAGACTGATATAGCACGCCATGTAGTATGGTAAGTAAACATCATAAAAACATCGTAGGAAAAAGGTTAAAAAAAACACAGTTAGAATATTGAAAATATTTTTTAAAACGACACGGTTAAGTATGTCGACATTATTTTATCCTTATGTACGTAACTTACTTTTTAGATAAGGGTTTTAAAAAATAGTATAATTTTTAGATAAGAGTTCCCCCTTATGTACGGAACCATCTGTGACGTAACATAACGCAACTTAATGTAACGTAACAAAATGTAATGTAACGTAATAATAATAATAATTTCTATTTATATAGCGCCTTTCACAAAACCCAAGGACGCTTTACAATGGGAAGTAACAAAAAAAAAAAAATGTAACACGTAGTATCGTACGTCGTTAAAAATGACAGAAAAGTCCAAATATAGCATGTCGAAAAAATGTACAACGTTACGTAGCGCAATGTAATAGTATACTGTTGAAAATAAATAAGAAATAAGACGTAGTAAGTTTAAATG